TCTAGGTATTCATTAGCCAAAGATACCAAGCAGGAGTAACTACACAAAGCGTATCTGCAGGATTCTTTGGAGTAACATTTTACATTGCTTTGCCACCTTTCCAAAATTATTTGAAAGAAGTGTTAGCCTATAGTAACTGACCTCCAGTTATTGTTATCTCCACTGAAAATTGCCTGCTAAGCCCCAGTGAGCCTGCTCCTTTGTTTTATAAGAGAAAAAGATATTGAATGTCCACAGTTCCATCTGAACTGGAATGCCAGACATAGATCAATCAGCTTGTGATTTTCATGTCGCTTAGGAAGGGTTCAGAGAAGTATTAGATGTATTACAGCTCTGGTTCGCACATGTTCCTACTGTTATTATCACAGAAGAGTAGGAGTTACCAAAAATGTTACCGCAGATAATGCTGACAAGTAAAGAGCTTTTAAACACCAATTATATGCTTATGCACATTTGGAAGAGAGCTGTCAAAACTGATTTGTTAAAAGTGAAAGATTAGGAAGTGCAATCTGCAAAAGGGAATTCATCAATAAAACAGGAGTTCTGCAGCTGAGATTTTACCTTATGTAGTTGAAGAACTAGAAATACACATAAACATTCATATTAGGACGAGGGCTACCTGTCTTGTGTAACTGCAAAACAAATAACACAGTTCATGATTGTCTGGCAGCATCATGTGAAGACCACGAGAGGAATATTCTGTCAGCAGTCTGCTTTCCTATTCCTACCTGAGAGGAATGCAGTATGTGCAGCTTACCTCCTGGAGGCATTCATGGTGTCTTGGTGATTGAGTTCCGAATGCGTCAGATTTCTTCTTGCAGCGACGAAAAGGGCCTTTTTTATCCTCTTGTTTCTTTGCACAAAAGAGGAAAATCTTCACTGAGTACCAGCAAAAGTAGTCTTTCTTCCAAGCCCACCAACTTGACTCGTAATCTGGGAGCTCTTGATACGTGTCAATCAAAGTTTTCAGATTGCTGGGTTTCTAAGGCTGATTTTGACATAGTTCTTCAAGAAATTCCCTGGAGCAGCTCACAAAGCAAGTAATGAGTAATCCCAACGACTGGCTGCTTTTAGCTGCTAGGATCTCTTCTTATAAACAGTAGCTCACTGCTAAACTGTTGCCAAATTCATAGCAACACAAGTAATGCACAGATGGAGGGTGCTAGTGATGAAAAATGCAGGATGAGCTGTAACTTAGAACTACTTTCTGTTAGATCACAGGCTATTTTGGGGTAAAACTTTGTTCCTTTCTACAACTGCAATTTGGTTTAACTTGCCTGGAGAGAAACGTCAAGCCACCATCACGTAGATATGCTCTAATCGCCAAACATTTTTATGAAAAAATAGGTGCCTTCTTTAATAATCTGTTGACTTTTATAAGACAGTCATATTCAATAAGCAGTATATCGGCACAAAAGAAAATACTTGGACAGTATGGGTTGTTAACAAAGTCACATACATCCTATTCTTCCCTGACCACCTGGAGCCATTAATTAACAAGAGGCTGTGCCAATGCAGAAGTTCTCCCAAAAGCTGGGCATTGCATGATTAGCTGGGCTAATGGTGGTTTTAGTGTAAGAAACCCAATAGTCCAGTAACTATTTGTAGGACTTGTGAATAAAGAGATTTAAATCTGTAGTTTAGAAAAACATGCCAGAGTCCTTCTTTCTGAAAACAAAATGTGAACACCTTCTTGCATTATGTTTAAATTTTAAAAAAAGGCCCAAACAATCTTCTCATTTAACTCTTTCTTTGAGCTTACTGTCACATATAACTGCTATTAAGACAAATGTGAACTTGTACTTCTGATGCATTTCTAAAGGCATTTCTATGCCTTCACATAGCATTTATGGTTTTGTATAAATAAAATTGGTTCCTTTAGTTTCAATGAAACAATGAGCAATTTCCAGGTATGTCTTGGGATATCACTTATACTCCAGAAAATTAAGACTGAGCTTGTTTACTCATACTCTCAGCAGTCTTAAAGCTCCCTTCCATAAATAACATTTATAAAAAGGGCTATTTTAATTTCATCGACACTTGTGACAGTTTAACAGAAACTGATTGAGTCTCCATTTCCTTTAAGTAAACTTGTTACAAGACCAGTATATCAGTGTGCAATTCAGCAGAAGTGCACATGCTGTTTACTTGTAATGGCTGTGCGAGTAAGACTGTGTCACTGGAACCAGTGGAGGACGTCATATCATTCTTCATTATTAGTAATATATTGAATACAGAAATATTACAATAACTTGGAGGAAGAAATTTGGACATCAGTAAAGAATTACTGACTTGAAGCACTTCGAGATTTTTCAGACCTGATCCTGAGAATATAGGCAGTTACAACTTTTGGATTCTGTTTTTCCTAAGTCACATATACAGTGGTAGATGCCACAATAAAAGTTGTACACTGGAATTTTACTGGAAGTTTCTAGTTTTCTTTATATGTTTTTTATGGAGACAGGTGGGTGCCCAAAGGAGCCCGTGACTCTCTGGGAAGTCCACACTGGAGCAGTCTGCTCCTGGAGGGCAACACCCCCGCAGAAGGGACCAATGCTGGAGCACTTAGAGAATTAAAACTGCAGCCTGTGGGAAGGATTCGCGGTGGAGAAGTTGGTGGAGGACTGTCTCCTGTGGGAGGGACCCCACACTGCAGAAGGGGCAGAGTGTGAGGAGTCCTCCCCTGAGGGGGAAGAGACAGAGGAGTAATGGACTGACCACAACCCCCATTCCCTGTCCCCCTGTACCACTGATGGGGAGGAGGTAGAGAAACTGGGAGCAAAGCTGAGCCCGGAAAGGAGGGCAGGAATAGGGGGTCTTAAGATCTGGTTTTAGTTCTCCTTATTCTATTCTGATTTGTTCGTTAATAAATTAATTTTCCCAAAGTTGAATGTGTTTTACCTGTGATCACAATTAGTGAGTGATCCCTCCTTATCCTTGTCTCAACCCACAAGCCTTTCCTTATATTTTCTCCTCCCCATCCCACCTGGGAGGAAGAGTGAGTGAGTGGCCACACAGTATTTGGTTGCCAGCTGGACCTAAACCAGGACACCAACACACAGGATACCTGCTGTATCTTCAAGTTGCCTATATACTGCTTGCAAGGCTTCTTAAAACTTACCAAATATAAGTGGCCAAGTAGAGAATGGTTTACAAAATATTTTGTCTGTATGCAAATCTGCAGGTCATGATTAACCATTCCTACTCAAGAGCTAAATTCCAGTCCGGTGATTTAGTTAGCCATCCAGAAATACTCAGAACAGAATACATCACTTGACTGCAATTCCCGAGGCCATGCAAATTTTAGGAGAAAACCGTAAGCACTGCACAGCATTAAACACCAGGAGAAGTGTGGGAGAGTGGTGTTTTCCGGGTGTTTCTTACTGACACAGGTATTTTACAACTATTCTATCAGTCGGCCTGTATTAATTGGCAGAAGCTGGAACTGACACCCAGGAATCTTGCTATTCCTTACATCAGTTTAGGGAAAATGTACATCCTTTTTGGTGCAGCTGAGTCACTAGGACAATCATATCCAGCAAAGGTGTGGAGGAAACCAAAGGAGTTGGCCTGCACCATCCACCTCAGCCAGCATGGCCGCCGTGCCAGGGGTCACCCTGAGGCCCTGCAGCCATGTCCTTCCGTAATGCGCAGGCACCAGAGGGCTTTCCCTTCCATCTCTGCCGCCGCCATGGCTGCCAAGGTCAGACGTGCCAAGCGGCGACGAGCAAGGGGGATGAAACAGCAAAGCTGGCAGCTGCATTTGGGGAGTGGAAAGTGCCGGCACCACCCAGCCACCCCACAGGTGCCTGCACCAGCCTTCTGGGCAGCCTCTGGTGGCCCCGGGCGCTGTGATGCACCCGCCATCGCTGTGAGTGACCGCACAGATTCGATCTGTTAAAGAGCGGCCGCGGCAGGCGGGTGACGCCCCCGGCCAACTACAAACCGCAGAATGCGCCGGGGAGCGGTCTCGGGTATCGTTCGAACCTGCCAATGAGGGCGCGCGGGAGGGGTCACGTGAGCGGGGCGCGCTTTCAAACG